ACCATATACTTCATCCTAGCAACAATAGGTGCAAGTTATATACCGTACCCTTCATTTGATTTCCTTGTCTTTGATTCACCAAGAACTAGTTCTACCTGAATACCAACATTGGTACTGTATGATAGATATGTATGTTTTATGGTTCTAGATTTTTTGAGAACCCATGTTCAAGTCTTTTGTGCCAATGATAAATTTGGCCGCAACTCATGGCCAATATGAACATAACTGAAATTCCCGGTTTGAACTTCATTGGAAACTATTTCAGTTTTAATTGGGACTAGCACATATAGGCCTTGTACTTCAGAAATATTTCAATTTTACTGATGTAAATCGGTTGTACTGCACTGGTTTGCAACCTGAAACTCCATTTAAAAATTTAAACCTAGATCATAAGATATTCAGAGATAATGGCAAGAAGTAGCCGGGCCACTGAAGCTCATGGTGGCATTAGTGCTATATTATAATTTCTCTTGCACTTGAGTGGGTCCTTAAACAAGTATTATACCATTTCAGTTCTGCTTCAGCACTAGTGTTCATCTTTTTCCTGGAGTTGCACATCTGGCGTTTGCAGCATTTCTGTAAATTGGCATAGTATAATAGTGTTGTCACTATCTCTTTTAAGGACATTCTGTAAAGCACGCATGGATGGCTTTCTGGTCTGGACATGCAGGAGAGGAGCACTTATGTTATTTTTTTAGCACTTCTATTCAGGGTGAAGACATCCTTTGGAGCAAGCATTAGTGTCGGATCTTATGTGATTGAATATTTGCCTGATACTTTTACCTTTCGACTGAGACATTTTACTGCTTATGTGATTGAATAAGTAGATGTGTAGGGACAGTTCTTATCAGATCTGTCAAACCTTGTGAATTGTGATGATGCTATTGATGTTCAGATGGGCAAGCGATTAATTCTGTGTATATGTGTGCTAGTGAGTATGATTAATTATGCGTATGGGTGCTAATGTCTATGATTAACTAGATGGGTACCCCGCGCGTTGCTGTGGAAGAATTATGTAATAATATAGACTTAATATCGGTTGAGCAGTAAGAAGGAGAATCGGTTATGGAATATATTCAGAGATTTCGTAATGTCCGCAGCCGATGTTATAGTTTGAGTCTAAGTGATGAGCAACTAGCATATCTTGCATTCCAAGGGCTATCAACACCTATCAAGGATAAATTATTTTGCCACGAGTTCGACAGCTTAGCTCATCTAATGCAGACAGTAAGTAAGATCAATTTTGGAGTTATTAAGACTAGACTGAAGATAATATTGAAGCATGAGCTCTCGTACTCCAATTTTTTTTTTTTGGAGGGGGGGCCTGTGTTAACAATGAAATTTGGTAAGCCTTGAAGACGTCATCAGCCTAAAATCAATATCGGCTTCAGAGTTTTGGAATCGGCCGATGAGAATTATCAAGTCGCCAATAGTCGGATTCTTGCTATATTCGGTTAAGAAAACTAATCTATTAAAGGAAGCTTAGCCAGAAGTGACCGAGTTCAAGAAGGATGCTGAATGCGGCATGGCAAGTTATCTATTAATTAGGCAGTATTTGTTAGTTTCCTTTTATCTTTAGGAAAGTGTGTTTAGTGTCCCATAAGGACTTTATGTTTTACTTTATATTTAGGAAAGTTTCTTTCTTGTCCAATAAGGACTAGTACCTACCCATGGGTATAAATATGTACACCTGGGGTGATTGTAAACTATCTCCACAATCAATACAAATTCGGCACATCGCCATCCTTTTTACTGAGGTTTTTACTTATCATCCGACGGAACTTGACACTTAACGCAGGGCTGCATCGGCTTTCGATCTCCGACATAGGGGGCAAGTCCTACGTTGCGCCGGTCCTAACAATTTTATTGGCTACATTGGCATCGTTCAAGGCTGCATCGCTTCGACCTCTTGGATTGCTCAGGTTTAGTTGATATATTTGCCTACCTATTTATCATATATATTAGTTAATCTAGTTTGGTAGCTTGATTTACTTGTAACGACTGATATTCATTTTAGGGTTTATGCCGGTATCGGCTAAGTCGCTTTCCCAAATTAGATTAGCTAAGGTATCTACCACCCTGAAAATCAGTCAAGGGCTTGATTGTCTAGATATTGTGTTTCATACTTAGTGCTGCATCAGTACATTCGACCTACTAAGTCGTATTTAGAACCATAATCTCTAGCCTGCTTCTTGATCGCTAATAAAGGTTTCATCGGGGTTTTAGCCAATGAGTTATCTGGACGTTGCATCGGCTTACAAGGATTGCATACAAGTTGGATTTAGCCGATAGCAACAAAGGTTTCACTGTTTGTCTAATCTTGTGGATTTATGACATTGGACCTTCAACCGATGTATGCTTTAACTTTCGGATCAATATTTGTTCTATCATATCATTGTTAGCTGATTGGTTCCTACAGGATTATATTATTGTTATATTACATTATCATCAGCCGATTGTCTTTATTTACATCAAGTGTCAGATTTTACATCAAACATATGGCCGATAGCTCAAAATCCTATCACTATCGACTGATACCGGTATCGGCTGGAATCACTCCATCGGCTTGTCAGCCGATCGGTTATTTGATCTGCTATTTGTATATCTTGTCAATTGCAGGATCAAATTGACTGGCACGTCCGCACCTCATCAACCTTTGGACCTGCACTGGAGCTAAGCAGATCTCTCAGACCGTTGTGTTCGACTGTTCGTTGACTTAGTTCGTGCCAACACAGACCCGGTACCATCGGCTGAGCGCGGATTTTCCGTCAAAAGCCGCGCGCTAGCTCAATCACTGACTGCTGCTGCTTTCCACCCGCATCTTGGTCCTCCCGCGCCTCCGCCTCGCCAGTCGCCACCGTAGACGTCCCTGTGACCTTGTCCATGGCGAACCTCACCAGGTTGCTGAGCAGCACAACAACGCTCTTCTCCTGCTCTACCACGAAGCTCAGCAGGCTCTGCAGAACGGCGGCCTTCCAGTTGCCCCCACCGCCGCCGAGGAGGAAGGGAAGGAGAGAAGATGACATGTGGGTCCCCCAATTTTTTTTTTTAATAGCATATGGGCCCTACACATATCTATATATCCTATATAGTTGGCACCAAAAACTAAACATGCATTCAGCCGCATCACTGACAAAACATGATAAAACAAGAGCCATTGGATCATTTTCATACGTAACCACAACCATCCAATAGACATTAAATATCAACACTTATCATTTTTCATTGATTAAAAGGTAACTCAACATTCAGTGACCACTTAGTGTAGTATATGCTATAAAAAAACCACTACAAGAAGTAGCCATCGGATCATTTTTCATATGTCATCACAACCATCCAATAGACATTAAATATCGATGGTTATTATTTTTCATTGATCATGAGGTAACTCAACATTCAGACCCTTAGTGTAGTATGCTATAAAAACCACTACAAGAAGTATTTCATTTTTCATATGTGAGGTGCTTTTATAGGTATATAATATTTCTCATGTCTATACATTTAAAAATTTATAGCTGCATTGCACACATGAATAATCCGACGTAACGCGCAGAGCAACATCTAGTTTTTTTTAATTCTAATACCATATAAGCGTCACATCAACGCCACGTGGAACGAGGACCTGGTTGACACTGTCACGTAGGCGTCATGTCAGCAAAACCACCCTCCAAAACCGTCGAGGGAGTCAAATTACACCGGTTTTAATAGTTGTGGGTCGAAATATCCGGTATTGTGGTTACTATAAAATTATAACCCACCAAATCCTAAAGCTCAACCTACAAGATGCTATATCATCATCTGCTAACAATTATTACACCTAAAACATCATTGCGTGCATAGTATATTATCTATAATTCTATATTTATTAAATTTTAGAGCTTTAAAATGCAAACATATTAAATAATCATCCCACATAATTCACATAATATTTAAATATATCTATCCATTATTTTTTATAATATCCTATATAACTATATAGTTAATCATCACTTAGTTAATGTTATGTATCTTTTCTCTCATTAAGCCAAATCATCTCAATTGTTTTTAGCCCTTAGATGATTAATCTATGTTCTAAATTACCTCTCTCATTTGATTCTCTCATAAAGTCTCATCGCCTTTCTTTTATATTTGGATCATCATACTATATAATATTTAAATGACCATAAATCATATTAATGTTTAGCTATCTTACATATTATTTGTACTTATTGCTATTATACTAAACTCCCGCAGCAATGTGCGCGTGGGGCATGACCTAGTTAAGTATATAATCAGTGACAATAATCTGTTTCGACCAGGGGTCCTGCGTTCGGAAATTCCCACTTTATATTTATTTGTATTGTCTAGGTTTTTACGAATTTCCTTTTTTCATATAGCATCTAGTTTTTCATTGGCTTCCCGTTATGGTGCTCTTTTATCACCTTGGAAGCTACTAGGTAAAATTTCAGAAGTGAGCTTCATGGAAGACGTTCGAGGTTTGTTTGTCTTTCTTTTCTTATGGGTTGCTGAGGAGTAACGTGGTTTTAGTTCACTTTAATCATCTTTGTTCATGAACAAATCCTATATATACTATTCTAATAAAAACATCAGCTTGATGCTCCCTTTAAAATTTCTCTAAATTAATATATTCTCTACATAACACAATTAAAGGACGTGGGAAGGGCATATGGGGGAATGATCTGTAGGACACTAGTAATATGCCCGTGCTAAACGCTACGGTGCAATTCGATGTTTCTTTAATAACTTCTAAAATTTCATGTTAGCAAAAAAAAGTATATGATATGTGCAATTGGAGCTTTAATTCAATTAATATCGTACAGTTCACATAATGTACAATAATATGATATTGTGTGAGCACAATAAATCTTAATAAAAATTAATTATATATAATCAATTCAGAATACAATATACGAAGCCAATATATGTTTTAAAAGAATATGTTCAAAAAGTATAGATTTATTCCATTAATTTGTTGCTACTGCAAAAAAAAAAAGAAAAGATGAGGTCACGACCAAAGTTCAGATAGACAAGTTCAGAAATGGAGCTATCTCATAAACATTCCAAAGCTCACTGAAAACTTCATAAAATCCAACTAAATTTACAAACGTATTCAGAGATATATGTTTTTAGAATTCATTGTTACAAACATATTCAGAGACATATGTCAGAATCATAAATTTTTCATGCTGGCAACCAGCTGAAGAGGTGCACAGATCAAGACTTGCAAAAGATGTACTCATCTTCAGAACAATGTTCAGGCATTTTCCATTCTGGCAGCTACAACAGAACCAGAAAAACTCTTTAGCTCCAGGTTCATTTTAAAAAAAAGCTCCAGGTTATCCCTAACCAGGGCACTCAGGGCTTCTCCTAGCTCGACAAAAGATTAGGCCTGCTATCTAAATTTGAGAAACACATGCAGATAATAACTTTTTTTTTGTCACACATACACATAATAATTTGATTTCAATTATATCACAGATGTATGTTAGTGGGAGGGAGGAGAATTAAATAGCAAGTATTTTGTCACAGATGCACATAATAATTTGATTTCAATTATCTCACTGATGTAGATCACATAACTGACCGAGTCACTATTGAACCGATGCATAATAGCCATTGATAATTTAATATTAGGATGGTTCATAGCTTCTGTTAACATGAAAAAGAAACCATTTTTGTTTCCATACAGCAACCATGATTAGTGACAATGACAGTAAATGGATAATAATATGGATTGGTGAAACCCTTTCGAAAAAAAACCGTGCCATTTGATTAAATAGACGGTAAAAAAATGGATAGGATGAAAAAAAGTATTCCGTGAAGACATTGAAGGATAAGATGCAGCTGTTCAAGGAAGAAACTTACAGTTGATTTAAAAGTATAAATATGTGCACAGAAGCTAGAGCCTATTTTATTTATTAAAACTTATCAGAGCAACGCATTATCCTGAAAATTATAAGGCAGATTATGAACTTAACACAAATTCTACATAGGAAGTAATGTGTCAGGAAAATAAATTTATTATGTATTGAAATATATATGCCTCCTTCCAGCTTTTGGTGTAGATGGAAGATTGATCGGGGCAGTGACATTGTTGAGGCCAAATTCCTCTTATTCGGTTGTCTGGCAAGGTGATGGGTAGCGACGGCGATAGGGCCGTAGTGGCGGGCATTGACGGTTGTGGGGAGACAGCGGCAAATCTAGAAACACTTTTCTTTCTTTAGGTTGATGGAAAAATGAACCACCCTACTGGCAGTTGAAACGGTCGATATATGTAAAGTTCGCTGCTGCCATCAAAACCCGCTCGATATTCGTCATATCACTTACAAGTAATACGACTCTGGTTTCTGTATACCATCAGAAATATAGAGAAATTTACCATATGCCTAGGAATTCATGGTGGTTCCTAAACTAAATGGTACATATTAGTCATATTATTCTGAAGATTTAAAGTACATTTGAACTTTTAAAGAAGCTTAATTTGAATTAGGATAAAACTAAAACACATTACATTTTGGAAATTGGAACAGAGGGAGTATCACAGTAAAAGTGTAATGCTGAGAATCACAAAATAAAAGTACTTGTAACAAATAAATGACAGTGGATTCAACTCTCAATTTAGTTTTAGCAACGAAAAATATATAGTACATAAAGAACAGATATACTGGTTTTTTTTTTGCAAGTACCAGGGCATTGTGAGCTATAGGCAACAATGTGATGTCACAAACCATGAAGTGATAGCAGGGCAGTGGAAGTTGATGGCTAATACCATGAACAGATGCATTGACAATAGTAAAAGGCGTAGCAAAAAGAAAAAGGACATACCTTGAAGCTCATTTTTCACACCTTTACACACTGCAGAATTTGTCATTGTTGCAGCCCTGAATAAAACAGTTGTACTCAGAGCAATGTAGGGGGTAATCTCCAGAGCATAACATAAGGACACAAATTCTCACTACCACCAGTCTCACCTAAGCCAGATTGATGCCACCGTCGTTGCCAAAATAAATATACAGAACACTGAATTGCTTATTAAATGTGTCATCTACACTATTTAGATCCGTACATACACAAGCAGATTACTACGAGAAAACATACATGTCTGTGTGACTTCGTCAACAATGGGAAAACTTTATCACTGAAATAAAATATTGCTTCGTCAACAATGGATCAGTTGGTGAGTTCTTAAACTGATAAATAAATGGCTGTGTGACTCCTACGTTTGCAATATGCTTGGGTCCTGCCACTGTAAAATCTGGTGATAATTTGGGTCCCGTCATTGTAAAATATCATTCAACCATGATACCAATAATTTGAACTATTGATTGAGGCAGAGCGGAAAATAATTTGTACGGTTGATTGAGACAGAGCGGATACAAACTTTCTTCATTGCCTCTGACGAAGAACTGGGAGGCAGTAAAAAGAAGGGGTGAACGATTGAGTTTGTAATGTAAGTACAAGGGTCATGGGACTGCACCTGAGAGGGGAGATGATGGCGCTAGGTCCACGACTGCCCGGAATGCCTCGCCTTAGCACCTCCCACCCTTTCGTCATCCCCACCCTCCTCCACGCACCTAGCTAGCTAGCACCGTGCCGGCCTATAGGGCAAGCGCCCGTAGATGACAGAGGCGGCGTGGTGAGCCGTGAGCAGAAGGGGCAGAGGGTGACGGAGCGGCACAGCGATGAGGGCACGGGGGAGTGGCGGCGCTGGCGTGAAGATCCATGTCTGCAAGAGGGAGTGATGGCGACCTGATGGCGGCAGCGGCGCTGGCGACGGGCGTGGGGTGCGGAGCGGTGGAAGGGAGGGAGCGCGTGGGAAGGGAGGGGAACGACGGTGAGCGCACAACGACGTGATTTTGGGGATAGTGCGGCTGCCGAGAGGCGATGGCGATCTGCGCAGCGGGGCCGCAGGGGTCAGGAGCGGAGAGGGTGGAGGGGGATTAGGGTTAGGGGAGCGCGGGCGCGGGCTGAGTGAGGAGAGGGGCGCTCGCGGCGTGATTTGCGGGGAGACGGGGAGAGGGATGCGTGCGTACTGTGGAAGGAAGAGGGGGAGACGTGGGGCGATGTGAGCTGTTGGATTAAGATGTTATTGACCGTTGGATGTGTGATATGATGAATGAGTAACGAGTAAAACTATTTGTTCAACTATAGGGTAGATGAGTACCTTCAAAATATAAAGCAAGATTTTTCACTTGGCTTGTGCTTAAAAACCTCATATGGACGAAGGACAGATTGCCATCAAGGAGGGTATGGCAAAATGACTAATATCAATTACACCTTACGAATCTGGAGACAGTTAACCACCTCCTTGAATGTCTTCTTGCCACTGCAGTTTGGAATACGATATGTTGATTAATTAGAATTGGAATACGATATGTTGATTAATTAGAATGCATCAATCTCACATCCTTTTTAGTTGGCACCAAAAGCTAAACATGTATTGAGCCACATCACCACAAAACAAGAGCCATTGGATCATTTTCATGCGTCACCATAACCATCCAATAGACATTAAATATCAATGGTATCTTTTTCATTGATTATGAGGTAACTCAAACCACTTAGTGTTGTATGGGAAAATATGT